AGCATGCAATTGTTCTGCGAAAACACATGTGCGATCCGGTCAACATTCTTAGTAAGGGAGCCTAGTCTACAGAGGCCGCCGTCGCAGTCACTTTGTGCAGTTTTTCATTCATACAAAGCGGAAACCTGCAAATACCAACGGCTTGCCCGCTCCCCACTGGGGGCGCTAGGATGGCGCTTGATTTGCGCTAGGTCTTCGGTGATCTTGGTTTCCAAGAGTTGGCGCGCGGGCGATGGGCTTTGCGTGGCTTTCAAGGGTGTAATGTTGCAGTTCTTACTTAGTACTTGAAGCCAGGCCGCACGTTTACCTTCATCTTGCGTGGCCTTGGGAAGCTTTTGCTAAGATGAAGCCTGTAAATGCTGGAGACGCGCCCGATACTGATAGTATTAGCAGTAGTAGCAGCAGCAGCAGCAGGCTCGCGCGCTAGCAACGTGTTGCACAATTGCTAGGTTGATCGCACACGAACACTATTTTCCTACTTGGAACATGCATATAGAACTCAAGCGTTGTTCAAGGCAGAGCCCCATGGAATAGCGCCTCACAGCCGGCTTCGAGAACTTGATTTATGTGTCGCACAGGCGTGCAGAGAATGTAAACTCCATGTGAACACAATTTTTGTTGCCCAGGTGAACGCATGTGTGCTGCACAATTGTGTGTTCCAGGAACACATGTTTGTTATCAGGAACACATGTTTGTTATCAGACGAACACGCGTGTGTGTGTGTGTGTGCGCGTGCGTGTTCCGGGTGTGCATATATGTGTGTGTTTGCGTGTAAACATATGTGTGTTCCACGTGCGCACACATGTGTGTGTCACGTGTACACATATGCGTGCTCCACGTGTACACATTTGTGTTCACGTGTGCACACGTGTGCGTTCCAACTGGACACGTGTTTGTGTTCCAGGAGAAGAAATGTATGTTGTCAGTGAACCAGATGAACGCGTGTGTGTGTGTGTGTGTGTATAGGTCTGCTCCGCGTGCACATGTATGTGTGTTCATTTGTACACATATGTGCTCCACGTGTACACACTTGTGTGTTCACGTGTACACACATGTGTGTTCGAATTGGACACGTGTTTGTGTTTCAGGTGAGTACATGTTTGTTATCAGATGAATGCACGTGAGTGTGTTTTCCGGGCGCGCATATATATTTGTGTGTTCACGTGTGCGCATGCTCACGTGTACACACTTCTGTGTTCCAACTAGACACGTGTTTGTGTTCCTGGAGAACACGTGTTTGTTCTCAGATGAATAGTTGTGTGTGTTTGTGTTTCTGCGCGCACATAAATGCGTGTGTGTGTGTGCGTGTGTGTGTTCATGTGTGCAGTACACATGTGTGTGTTCCCTTGCGCACATGTGTGTGTTCACGTGTGCACATGTGTGTCTTTTACGTGTACACATATATGTGTGTTCACGTGTGCACACATGTGTGTTCTTATCAGACACGTGTACGTGTTCCAGGTGAACACATTTTTGTTTTCAGATGAAAAATCGTGTGTGTGTTCCACATGTGCACATATGTGTGTTCACGTGTGTACACATGCGTGTTCCAATTGGACACGTGTTTGCGTTCCAGGAGAACACACTGTTGTTATCGGATCAGCGCACTGGTGTGTGTTCCGGGTGCACATTATGCAAGTGTGCACGTGTGCACATATGTGTGTTCACGTGTACACATATGTGTGTTCCACGTGTACGCACATGTGTGTTCCACTTGGACACGTGTTTGTGTTCCAGGTGGACAGATGTGTGTTCCACGTGAACACATTACTATGTGCTAGGTGAACATTTCTTGCATCTGACGACATATTTGCTCTCCAGGTGTACACATGTGTGTGCTCCAGAAACGCAGGATTGTTTTCGAGGTGCGCGTGTGTGTGTGTGTGCGCTTTAGGTGAGCATTTATGTTTGCTCACGCGTGCACATATGTGTGTTCCACGTGTGCACGCATGTGTGCTTTAATCGCGCACGCGGTTTTCCTGGACACAATGTTTGTGCTCCAGTGGTGAACATAATAATGTGTGTCCCACATGTGCGCACATGTGCGCTTTAATTGCACGTGTTTGTGTTCCAGGTGAACACACGTGTGTCCCACGTGTACACACATGTGTGTGTCTGAGTTTGGACACGCGTTTCTTTGTGTTCCAAGTGAACACATGTGTGTTCCCCAAGTGAACGCATTAGCGTGTCGTAGGTGAACACATATGTGTTCCAGGCGTACACATGTGTGTGCTTTACAAGAAGCACATGTTGGCTTTCCACACATGTATGCGTGTGCCGCAGCTGAATGTATATGTGCGCGCTCACGGGTGCACATCTGCGCGCGCCGCGTGTACTGTTTCAGTCGTATACATATGCGTGCTCCACATGTGCACAGGCATGTGTGTCTGAATTGGACATGTGTGTCTGAACTGCCCATGTGACCGCGCGCTTGCGCAGCCACACTTGCCTTCACGCGAGCGCGCTTGCCCGCTATCGCACGCGTGCAGCAAGACAACGCGTGCCGGGTTCACGACTGCATCATTTTGATTCATCCGTGTTGAAGCGCAGAAAGCCACAAGCTGTTGGCATGTTTGTGCTTGCCCATCAGTCCTCAACTGTTTGGGGTCTCTGCTGGTGTACTTGTTTTTCTCTTTTCAGGCGCTTTGCAAGGCCACAAGGCCGGCCTTGCTTTCTCTCTCTTATTTAAGCAGGCAGCTCTGTCCTTGAGGTCATCAGCTGGCGACTCTCGCGGGCTATGTCTTTTAAGGCCCACTCCTGCTTGGCCGCTGGGGAGCGATGAAGGCTACGCCTCCAGGCGATCAACGAGTGGCCAAAGATAGCCAGGCCGTACCAAGGAGAACTATTGACAGGGGAAATGGTTGCGTGGCCGCTGGACGCGCCCTGACCACAAGGACATATGTTTCTTTTTGGAGCGCGTACCCCAGGGAGAGGAACATATTTTCCTGTTCCCCTTTAACTCGAAGCTTGCAGGGTCAGGGGCATCACTGTTGGCCAACATGAACATGCGTTGCCAACTGAAGCACATCTTTCCTTAATGTGCGCTTCTTCGTCTTTAGATTTGACGTGTTGGCCACCGGTTCTGGATTCCATTGTTTCTCGGTTGACAATGAGAACTGTCAAGCAGCAAACGTATAGTTGAGATCAAACCTCGCAGAGATCACCAGTTCCCTCGATGCAAACAGGGCGGAGCTAGAAGTCGCCTTCAGCATGCAAGGCCTATCCGAACATGTTGCCCTTGGGCAGGTCAAGAACACCTGAGACAACAGAAAACACCGTGCAGGGTGTTGACAGAAACGATCAGGGGTAACAAAACGGGTGTGGTTGCTTTTTCGATTATACCCTTTTCGGGGGGTGAGTTTTAAGGGAAGGCCAAAAGGAAAACCGAAAACCATTTTGGAGGGGTCCGAGCTGAAAAAGGCACACCCAAAGTTTCACCGACACAGATCCCCAATGCAAGGCCTGCCAGCAGCGTGAACCTGGCTGAAAAGGAGCATCCCGACCATCCCAATAGACAGATGGTGCTTACATAGGAAGACATAGACCTGTGTCTGGGATTCTGGGTGAACCTGAAAACCAAGTAATGTTGACCCCGGATTAATAAACCAGTATATTAATATGGGGGTGTTCCCCTCCAAAAGTGATACATCCCCACTAAAACCACGAACACCCCCATATTAATAAACTGGGGCTTATTCATCCTGGGTCAACATTACCCTCAAGGGAACCTTCATCAGAAGGCCCAAACAAGAGCTTACTCATGTCACTGAAGAGAGCCGAGTCTGCCAGACTTCCAGGAGAACTGGTAGCAGAGCTCAGATCTATCGGCACCCCGACGTTTCCCAGGATATTCCCTATAGGTCCTCCAGTGGAGAGGTTAGACTAAGGGTACCCTTTTTTATGTAGTCTATTGTAGTAGGGGAACCTTCCACCAAAAAAGGGAACGTGGCACTACTGGGGTCCTCTCTTTCTTTGGTGAAGGAAAGACTTGCTGCACCGAAGCTGTGGCTTGATTGAGAGCCGGACGACATGCGCATCGCAGACTTCTCGCCACCCTTCAACTCACGTGTCTCCACAAGGCTCCGAGCCATCTTCCCGGATGCGAAGCAACCGACATATGGCCGTGGGTCAAAACCCTGTACCCCTGGTGAACATCAAAATAGGGGATACATGGGTGTTCATCCGCCCAAAATGGACGAATAGTTTATGACCCATTCTGCCCATTGACTCAATTGAAGCCGCAGATACCTTGCAGTGGGCATACCTCTTCGCAAGGTCAATCTCGCAGGCCATCAGGGTCACCAGCGCCAAGAGAAAGGCGAAGACACGCAGATCCGGAACCAACTGGGTGTGTCGTATTTGCTGACCCCCTCCTCGTTTGGCGGCTTTTGAAGGGAAGCCAAAGGGACACACACACAAACACACACACCAGATTGGGGGATCCCTTAAAAAAGTAACACCCAACTGGCGGTTTTTCTTGAACCTTGCCGCAAATGGAGCAACTTGGCCAATCGAGTCAAGCGCATCAAGCGCAGCACATGCCGGGAGTGCGCCAGTGTCGCCAGTGCCGCTCCCCGCGTGCCGCGCATGGCTCCAACTGATCGGGGGGGAACCGTGAGGCAGGGGCTAAAGGCTGCGGAGGCCAGGCGTGGAAGATCCCAGTGAAAGCGAATTTTAAGCCACTAGACTGCTCACATGGCAAAGCGCCAGCCGAAGGTGAATCATTGCTTTCAAAGGGCATTCAGTGAGCCACTGGCCGCCCGCATGCAGATTAATCCTTTAGCGACCAATGGCACTTGGCAGGAAGAGACGCTCAAATGCATGGATTTCCACGGGAATAAAGAGAACCGGCGTCCAATCTTTTTGGTTGGTTGAGTTTTTTAATGGGTTTTCCCGTTCCCCCAAACAAGGACGGCGGAGTGGCCGCGGGGCAACCGAGTTGGTCTCCAATTCGACCATCGGATCAGCGCCAAAGGTTCCCTTTGGCTTGGCCGCCCGGCGCCCCGCTTCAGCCGCAGAATGGCCCAAGGTAGCGCCTCGCCCTCGGTAACTTTGGGACGAGGGGAGGGAAGGGATGGTTCTAAAGGGAAACCACATTTTTCGGGTCGCCTTTGAGACAAACCGCATGAAGACCCAGGTTTGCCTTTCCAATTTGTTGACCCTTTGAAGGTGGCAAGGACTTGGGCAATGTGACGTGGAGATCCAACTTGGTGTGCAGTTTGACCAATTCATTTCTTGAGATCAAGTTGGACCGGGTGTCCAGAAGGAAGGTTTCTGCACAACCTGATGGTCTCTTCTTCTCACACCAGGCAAAAAGACTCAGTCCCGATCGGCGATGTGTGGCCCGCCGCAAAGTGGCCTTCACTGTCATTTCAACAACCGACAGGTGAACCCTCAGATCCTTGCGGAAGTGGTACAATTTCCGCACCAAAAGGAAACCAGTGGCTGACTGGAGAACATTTTCAATTTGAGAATATATTTCACTCAGCCCATCACAAAGCTGTCCAAGGGCTGAGATAGTAAGGCGAGCGCCCTGGCTCCGCTTTTGTATCAAACAACATCGGGTGCTCAAACGGCCTCAGCACGTGACACGTTCTCGGGAGAATCGGGTCTGCCCGGAGATTCATTGCCCCATGCCATGGTTCTGGGCTGTCCTCAGATCCCCTGCCAAGTGCTTCACATTTAGTGGGTTACACGTAAACCTACTAAACCCTAACCACCAGAACCGCCAAGGGATCTCGTGTTTTTTGGTTGCCCTGGCGGTTTTGAAAACCAAACGAAACCAACCGCCGTCCCCAACCGAGGCTCGAGGTTGGGGCGCCCGCTGATCGCTCCGGAGCCTCCTCCACCATGCGGCACCTCGGATCGGTGTGTCTTTTGCTAATTTGGGAACCCCGGATCGATTGAAACCTCTGGTTGGTTTTTCTTGCTTTTTTGGGTGCCCAAAACTCTTGAGCATTTTTGGATGTTTGGGAGTTTTGGTGTCCAAAACTGTTGAGCGGGGATTCATTGCAGGGGAAGACCTGCACCCCTTTTCATTCTGAGAACCGGGTTCTGCTACAGGGTGAAAGGCCCGTGACGTGCGGGAGATGCGGAAACTGGCAGGGCTTGACTTTCATAGGTACCTATGACATATGACGATCTCTCCAGGTTTTCCATTGCACCCAACCCTGGCCCCTGGATTCGGACTTTGGGGTGAAGTCCCCATTCTTGATTTGGACAGTGACGCAGTCTTTCGTACCTAGTGCAAAATGAGCTCCATCACTTCCCCTTCAGGTAGCTGCCCCTTAGGTGGCAAGGACTTGGGCAATGTGACGTGGAGATCCAACTTGGTGTGCAGTTTGACCAATTCGTTTCTTGAGATCAAGTTGGACCGGGTGTCCAGATGGAAGGTTTCTACACAACCTGATGGTCTCTTCTTCTCACACCAGGCAAAAAGACTCAGTCCCGATCGGCGATGGGCCCCGGCGGACCGGATCTGTGGGAATGTCTTGGATTGGAAGGCTTTCAACACGAGCTCACGGCAAAGCGGGGGAAACCTGGTATCACAAAGAAGGGCAATCTCTCCAGTTGCCACCCTCAAAACAGCTCCAGGGTGATTCTGGGTCAAGAAGTCTCTAGGCGGGACTTGGCTTTGGCACCACTCCTTCTTCCTCTCCCGCTCGTCCACGAAAAGGATGTCCTGTGCACGTCAGCCGTGCTCAAAAGAGCAAACCAACACACCTCGATTGTGAAGCATGAAGCTCGTCTTGAAGCTAACTTCACGGCACTTTTGCTGGGTTTTGGCAAGGCGAGAAAGAACCTGGCACTGAGGTGCACAATTACGGAGGGAAGGGAAGGGTTTCGAACATGGGATCGTGGGAAAACCTGGTGCTACATCAACCCTACACGAGTGGATTGGCTGCAAATACCTCAGCCACGGTTGGCTCATGCACAGGCACCGGGCGTCAAATTTGGAAAGGAAAGGACTCCAAATGGCAGTGGATGGACCCCAACCGGGGCCCCAAGTCTCGGAGTCAACAAACTCAATGCTCCCCAAGTGTGAGCTGTAGTACAAGGGCGTGTCTTGTTTTTTAGGGTATCCCCAAAGTGGCTTTCCTTTTGGTTTCCGTTATCCCCCCTCCCAAAGAAAAAGAGACAAGTCCCCTCGAACAAGACACACCCAAATAGATCTGGGTGATCTGGATCGAACCGTTGAACCACAAGTGACCCAAAGCACCGCACTTCACTGCTGTCACCTTCTGTGAGCAGGGTAGCGGAGACCTTACCGTCGGACCGGGCGCCACGAGCGCACAAATCTCCAAAACAGACAACACCCACAAGGAAGACCAACATAAATTGGACCAAAAGGTGACGCAATGGAAGAAGTTGTGGCCTTGTTGCTGAAATTCCCTTTCATGTTTCAACACAAGAAACAGGGGAACAAACTATCGGTGCCCCATCAGAATTCATTCCGTCCCCAGGTTCTCCATTCCAACACCAACCAAAAAGAAACGACAGCCGGTAAGGGCCAGTTCCAGAACAAATCGACACGCCTTGGCTCAGACGCCCCAAAATGGAGCTTTCTGGAAGCCACGGCAAAAAACAACAACAGCAGGCCTCTTGACTACTTTTGACTACTTCATCACGGAGCTTCCTTTGGTACAGAAATGGATGGCGCCAAAGCATAATGTGCATCATTCAAATCAACCCAACTTCTTACCCATTGAACCTTGGCCCACATCCGGGGCACGCAGAAAAATCGAACAGCGGCTTCTGACGCCCCCCCCCTGCAAATTTATCATGGCTTGCCCAAAAAGGGGGTCCATTTCGAAAACTGGGTGTTTGTGTCGGGTTCCATGTCCATCTGCAGGGCATATTAGGAGTCTCCTCTAAAACTGGGCGTTTGTATTCTTTTGGTTCCATGTGAATCTGGGCATAGACTCCTAGGTCCTCCAGTAGAGAGGTTAGAATAAGTTGGTACCTGATTTTTTTCTGTAGTCTATTTTAGGTAGGGTCCCGAACCCTCCCAACCAAAAAAGGGGTTAAAAAGGGCACCAATTGCTGGGGGGCCTAAGACTCCGAATCTGGGCATCGACTCTACCGGGTCCCCTGAACCATCCTCATCGAGGAAGGCCAAGGGCTGGGAGCTGGAGAGATCGTCCTGGCGAAAAAAAGGCCCGGACTTCAGGGGGAAAACCAGCGCAACGGGTGGGCTAAGGGACCTGGGGAGAAGCTTCATGAAAACATAGGAACAATTTGGGAGACATCAGTCCGCATTTAAGAACATATTCCTGTTCTTTGAGTGACTGACCAAACTGAAAGTGACTAAACTGTTGGGAACTGTTGGGGTCGTGACTAAACCGATTAAGGGCGGCATGCAGAGGGGACCTGCTCGCATGACATGGAATATCTCTTCCAACCAACCTGTGCACATTTGAGGGGATGACCTTTATAAGTCGAAATAGGGGAACCTCTTTACGAAAAAAAGGCTGGGATCGCTTCGAAAATGATGGGCTTGCATTACTCTTTTGCTTTGAGCAAGGGATTTTCCGGAAACTGTCAGCCAAGTTTGGCAATCTTTATAGTAAGTTGTGTGGAATTAGGGATCTGCCCCCCCCCCTTTCAATTGTGATCTTGCCATTTTTTTTGACGGTGCGAGCGTCGCCGACGCATTCGTCGAACGGCTCCAGAAGAGCAGCTGCGACACCAACGGTTTCGCCATGTTCGATGGCTGGATCCAAACCTTGGATCCGAATCGCAGGTCCTTCACGTGGAGAAAGACAAAGACGACAACAACCACAAGCACGAACAGAATTACAAACACAACACGCACACACGCGCGCACCTGAGCAATTCGCTCCCGGAGAGCGAATAGAGATCTTCAAGCTTCGGGTCAGCAGAAGGATTTTCCTCCCGCGGTTGTAGCTTTGCCTCTCTTAAAGACAGCGATCTGATTCTGGTTTCACTTGAGGATATCCACAGTGGCCCTGATTGTGATCCGGATCGCCAGAAGAAATGGACACTCCCGCGTCCAAACCCGCCTACGTTGGAGAAACCTGGGGTCTGCACCCATGTGGCACTGGGGCTCTCGCCTCTCACATCTTCCCGGCTAGATCTCCAAGCGGAAGCTCCGGGCCGTCAACGGGAAGCCGCTCCAAGAATTCACACTAGCATTGTGCTTGAGGCGAATGCTGAAGCAACTCACAAAGATCCCAGGATGCACTGACCGTGTTACAAAGAATGAGCACCATTTGACACATGCAAGCCAAAATTGTGTCTGAAGTTGCGCCAGGCTTCTTCAACTTTTAAAGCAAACCAAAGTGGACAAAGCTCAGTGCAACCTTCCCAGAGAGCAATCTGCTCAGCACAACCTGGCAGGGTTTTCAGCCTGACAGCCTGACAGCCTGACGCGCGCCGATGAATCGCGACGCACCAAGGGCCTTGTTGGAGGTGAAGGCGCTGCGGTGAAAGGCGCAGCTGACCTGCAGGTCAGCTGAACGCAACTCGATGCGCATAAGGAGGGGAAGGAGGTGTCGTCTTTAGAGTCGGTTCACTTTTTGGTGGCCTTAAAGGAGACCCAAGAGTTGGAACGCCGGCTAGGCATTTTGAGGCATCCCCCATCCGCATCCACTTCTCCACGTCGAATCCCGCGAAGCCGGGAGTTGCAACCGCGTCTGTGTGTCTTCTCTTTCGGGGACTCCTTCTTTTGGCAGGCTTTTAGGGGACACCAAAGGAAACATCGAAGCCATTTTGGGGTTCTTCTAAGAAAAGACACCCCCCACATCTGGGATACCACATGGCAACCCGGCATCAACCCAGACTTCCAGTCGCCAGAGGGATCGATCTGTCGGCTTGATTTTGAGAAGCTGTTTTGGGCCTCCCCAAACAAGCTGAAGGTACGGTACCAAACCTAGGCCCCACCCCAAGTGTTTCAAGAACACGAGGGAAAAGACAGGGCTGTCAGAGTTCTGTCTGAAAATGGTGAAGCACTTTTTGGTTGGTGTTTGAAGGGACACTTACAGGAACTATGTTACTTCTTGGGTCCATTTTGAGAAACACCTTTGTTCAGTTCCGAAATCTGATACAACACTCCGAAACCAGCGGTCGCTGAAGCTCTTCTCGTTTGAGGCCCGCACCAGTGGCGACAACTGCTCGTCCACAATGAGCTGCCGGACCTCCTCCACCTCGGGGAAATCCAGTGGAGCCATCCAAGCCCTTATCTTGCTGGTTCTCAGCAGGCAGTGAGGGAATGACCCTGAGAAACTATCCAACTGGTGGTTTCCTTCAAAGGAATCCCCGGGTTCACTCCCTTCCCTGCTGAGCACCAGAAAGGTATTAACTCCCCTGCCGATTCGTGCGGAACCCACAGAGCCCGTATTTTCGAGGATCTTCCTTTGGGGAAAGGAAAGGACACTCTTGTTGGGCTTCAGTGTGAAGTGCCGCGAGGTACCTGCAATTTCGGAACTTCAAAGAGGGACTGCTCAAACATTTCTCTTCAAACAAAACAACACTGCGCGTCAGTTTCTTTTCCTGGTTCTTTCCCAAGGGACGAACAATGCTTCTGCCCTTTGCCCTTTGCCCCTGGCCGTTTTCCACTTTGCTCTGCGGCGTTTGCCCTGGCTATGAGTTGGAGCAGTCCACCTCCAAAATGGGTGGACTGCTAAACTGAACTGAACTTCATGTCCAACGGGTCCTTTTCTTATGCCCGCGGCAAACAACAACAGTGATAGACTCCCTTTACAACCGACAGGGGGAAGACATATACATACCCCCTGCTCCAAATACCCACTTTTTTAAGGGTATTTTTTGGAAAACCTGGCTTTCCATGGTAAAAACCTCCCTTTTTAGTAGAGGGTTTACATGATACCCTAAAAAACATGGGTATTGGGTGTAAGGGGTATATATATATATATATATATATTCATTTGTGTGTGTCTTAAACTAGGGGACCCCGAAAATGGCTGTTCTCCTTTTGGCTTCCCGTAAAAAAAATGGGGCTCCCAAAAACAAAGCAAGACAGGGCCCTTGAGGTGGGTTTCCTTTGGTTCCCCCCTAAAAGAACAACAACCACCCAACACGGGGTGCGACTCCTATTTAGAGAACCCCTCCCCCCGTCTCGTCGCTCGTCGGTGCCTCAATGGGCCTGCTGGAGGTGATGGTATTGCCCAAGCAGAGCGCCGCGGCCTTGTGACCAACATGAACTTCGACGAGGCGATCTGAGACCAAAACCAACTAATTTGGAGATCCTCTTGCGATCCGTGCGAGCGATCGGTAGGGAATGAGAAATGGAATGACCGGGAATATAAACCATCCAACTGGTGGTTTTCTTTAAAGGGTGTTTTTCCGGGGTCATTTCCGCATGCCCCACTGAGCACCAGCAAGCCTTGGTTTGGGCAAAAAAAACAAGCTGCTTCCTGGCTACCCCAGATGATGTAAACCCACTAAACAAAATATATTTGCCTGGACTGCAAAAGGGCGATGCAAACTGCCGGCCTTTGGGTGACCCAGCGCAACCTGAAAGCCCTGTGCCGCAGTGAGCCCCGAAGGATGGGAGGGACCCCTGGCACTGGAAGAAAAAAGATCGCGTCCTGAGCCTGAACGATGTGTAGGTCAAGAACAGGGTAACCCCAAAATGGAACCCTGGAATGGAAACAAGGACTAAAACCAGCGGTGGTTTTTGACTATACTCATGTTCTGATCTCGACAAACAAAAACGCCCTGCCTCTCGGAGTTGGACACATGGGATTTCTGAACCAACCAGCCTTGGATTTGTTTCCCTTGCCTCGGCGTGCTTCATCTTGACACTGATGTGCTGCTTGTTCTTGACAATGTCCAGAAAGACCTCAGCATGCCCTATCTAGATCCATACTTCAAGGATCTCCCTTGTGATTGAATTCGAGGGGAAGCTGCTTCAAACAATTGCCATAACTCCCATCGCATATCAGATCATGGAGCAACGCTGGGCGTTTTAATAAATAGAAATAACAAGAATAATAAACAATAATAACAAACAATAATACTATTACTAATAATAATAAACATCTGTTCCGGAAACCGCCATCTTCGCGAGAAAAAATAACTTTCGCGGGCTCCATCGCGGAACTTTCGCGGGGTTGTTTGCAGAACATTCATCACACAAGTAGTAGACGAAGTACACTTCCGCAGCCCCACCTCGAAAGTCGCAGCTTTTCAATACGAAAGTAGTACAAAAAGTAAACTTCCGCAGCCCGGCATGAATGTCGCAACTTTTCAATACAAAAGTAGTACACCAAAGGAAACTTCCGCAGCCCCAGCTCGAAAGTCGCGACCTTTCAGTTCCAAAGTAGCACGCGAAGCGCGCTTCCGCAGCTCCAGCTCACAAGCCGTTAGGTACACACGAGAGGACCCGCTGGCCTCATGTTCGGAAACTGGCGGGGAGGTCCGCCGAATACACATGATTCATCACTCCAGCTTCCTGTCAGCAAGCCACCCTTACACAAAACTTTCGCGAATAAACAAATAACTTTCGCGACCCCCTTCGCGGAACTTTTGCGGAGGTCAACGCCAAGACCAAAAGGTCTTCCCTTTCATAGCTCAATACAAGGACCTTTCGGACGACTCTCACATGGCTTGCAAGACTTTTTGGGGGGTTGACAGCTTCTTACAGAACTCCCAGGACCATCAACAAATCACATCTTCTCCTTTTGGTTTCCTTAGCCTCCGACACCACGGGGTGCCCAACTAATAAACCAATTCTTACACGTTCCATGGGCGAAAGCGGATGTGATTCATTCTTTCGGCTCCTTCGGTGTCGCCAATAGCTCCGAACTCTGATCAAGCCTGTTGACCTTAGCTTTCGGTGGCTCGGAAACTGGAGTTGGACTCGGAGGCGAAATCTGCGAAGCCCTGCTAAAAGTTTGACTCACTTTTAGTGGTTTTTCATTGGAAAACCCAAATTCGTGGGCAAAAAGTTATTCGGTCCGAACATCCCTTGGCAACATGCACCAAAGGTTGGATTGGACTCGGATTGAATTGGACTGAGGCTGGGTTGGGCTTGGGGCACATGGGTCATTCAGTGTTCGATTAGCCCAAGGTTCCAAGCTCGACTTGCTTACCAGTGACCGGCACCAAACGAAGAAAAAACAACAACCGCGACTGCATCCTGTGAACCGCCCAGACCTACCCAGGTTTCCGCCCACACCAAAATGTGGATTTCTCGAAAGCCGGGAAATGACGTCTTTTCGCAAATGGGTGCACTGACCTTGATCACGACAAACATGAATTGAGTCAAAGTCAAAGCCTGGTATAAAAATGGTCGACCCAGAACCTTCATCTACCCGGGTTTTGATTGTGGCTCAATTGGGGATCCTTTGGTGGGCATCACAAAGAAATTCGGGTCCTATGCTCACTAATTGTTTTTGGTTGGGTGAACCCCAACCGTTCAGATTGAGGTGTGTTTCTCAGAATCGTGGTTTTCCAACCTGTTAGTTTCCGGCAATTCCCGGCTGCCCTTCGTGACTGGCAACAACCCCCTCGGACCCCTTTTTGAAGCTTCACCTCTGGAAAAATCTACCCCCAGCTTTTTCTTCTGGCAGACCGCGAGGCCCAAAGCCACAGACAACCACCTGGTTCTCCTTTTGGTTGATGTTGGAAGGGGAGCATTTTTTCATTCTTAAAAAGTTAAGTGGCGGGATTTCAACCACTCAACCACAACAAGCAAACATGTAAACACGTTTCCCAACAACAACCATGCTTTCGGCTTCTGAGAAAGTCTTCGCCTCAAGACTTCAGCGGGTGCAAACGCCCACCGCCGAAGCAAGGCTGAGCGCATTGCGTCGCTGCCGGCATCGGAGGCCTTGGGAAAAGGGTCCAAGTTGGAACTGGGTCTGACCCGAACGGCACTGCCTGGTGCCAAATCCACCGGACTTTTCTTTTGCTTCAAGGACTCTCTCTCTCTCTTTTCGCAAGCCCTAAATTCCTTTTCTGTTTTTTTGGACTTTCTGTGTAGGGAAAGCTCTAAGGGGGAAGCTAAAAGGACCCGAGTTACACTCATTTTGAGATGCACTCAGTTGCTTGTTCCTTAACATACATGTCCAAACCTGTTGGTGCTCAAGGCAACCCAAGGGGTCTTGCCAGAACTGCCAGCGGAGGTCAGGGACCTGCGAGATGGACACGCAATTTCCGGGCGGTTGAAACGACTTACCTTGCAGCAAACAAAACCTAGATCCTCCAGTAGAGAGGTTAGAATAAGGATACCCTTTTTTCTGTAGTCTATTTTAGTAGGGGAACCCTGCCCCAAAGAAGACACGGTAATAAAGCACCTACCTGGACCTAGAAACAAAACCCGGTGGTTTCCTTTGGAACAAATCTTCAGGTCATTCCCAAAACCCACTCTCGGTCCTTCCCGAATGCGCACCAGTCAAGGTTTAGACTTACTTGAGTCAGCACAGCCAAAAGAAGTGTCCTTTGCGTCCTTCCAATCTTGGGACCCAAAACTCAGGACGTTTCCGAAAGCTTCCGAGAGGGATGGTCTCTCACAGTGGATAAAAGGATGCATTTTGCAACAGGATATGGGGGTGTCTTCTTTTGAGTTGGTGCCTGTTGTTTGGGTGGTTTCAACAGGACACCAATACAACAAAACTCTTTTGGTGTTCTTTTTTTTGTTTCCGGGGGGGAGGGTTCAACCTATTTTGAACCAATCCCATATTTTGGTTTCATGGCAAACCACAAGGACCACCGTTGCACGACTTTGACTTGATCCAACCTAAGAGCGCGAGCCCACATTTCTCGTTTTTGGGAACACGTGGCGGAGCCGCATCCGTCGAGGTTCCGGGCCCAGCGGAATCGGAAGTCCGAGACTTTGGGCTGGTCGCCCCTGGACATTGGGAAATCCGCTGTGCCCGCGGTCGTCGGGTTCTCCGGGTCCGGTGCGATAGGAATGGCCGTTCCGGGTGTTGGTTGAATGCACCGGTTTTGGGAATTGCCTTAAAGGAACGCATCGGGGATGGTTTTTCTTGGGGTTATCCCCTCATTTCCTCAGAACCAGCAAGGAAGGTTAGCGACAAATCTAGCTGACTTCGATAACCCCGCGAACACATAATGACTTCAATTCACCTCAGTGACGACTCCGTGCTGGTTTGAAAAGGGTCACTTCCACCAATTGGGAGCCTGATCCGAGCCTTTCCGCTGTCGAAAAGAAGGATGGTTTAAAAGAATGGCTGACATCCACCCGAAAGGATCTGGTTTGAAAAGGGGGATCATATGTTTAGGAATCCCACCTCCTTCACCTCTCTTGTTACAAAGGCAAAGAAGTACCAAAAGGAACATGGATAAAGTTGGAAACTGACAAGTCAAAAGGAATCACTTGGCACAGAGCCGGTTAAGAACAGCTTCTCGGGCTTCTGGACACAGTTCTCCCCCAAAAACGGAATCCTTCAGAAGGGACAGCCCTTGACTACCAGAAACTGCCAAGGGCTCAACATGGGCTTTGGGACTGCAATGACGGCCTCAAAATCGCTGAAGCAACGGCAATTCTGAACCTGGCCATCTCTCTCAGATTGGTTGGCGACAGGATCCGCAAGTCATCAATTTGGGTGTCTCCTTTGCAAACCGTTTTGGGGTTGGTTTAGAGGAAACCAACAGGAACACCGAAGTTAAGAGATGCTTGTGCGATTCCCATGTGTGAAGAATCAACAAGCGCTTGAACGTAAGCTCGACGTGAAACACGTGTCACAAGCAACCCAGCATCTTCGAAACACGTGGCATGGATCCTGCACGGTATGGATCCCCACGAAGCACTTGTGCAACTGTTCCTGTCGCTTGATCCGTCTTACACCCCAGGCAAAGTTTTGCGCAACTGCAGAAAGTCTCCCTTCCTTCCTCCGTTGATCCCTCTTTGATCCATAAACAAAAAACAACACAACAGATCCACGGCTCAAGAACACCCTTCGCCGGGTCCCTAACAAGGGCCATGACCAACGTTTAGTGGTTTTGGAAACCAAACCAAGAGGGATTTGGAGGGGCCCGGAATACACCGAACAACTTCCAAGGATCACATTTCTGTCAGTAGAATCACCGAAAGGAACACTCCAGTTGGCCAGGTAAAAGCGAGAAACCACAGGGTCTGAGAAGCCAGGTGATTTTTTCTGCAACCGCCAAACAAACTTCACAGGGACAACTTCCATTCATTCCTTCCCAAACAACTTCCCGAGTTTCAAGCAGCGCGACTCAGAAAACCGGTCGAAAGGTTGAGCAGCTCACGAAACCGGAAACACCCACGACTTCCGAGCGAGCGAGCCCCGCACATGAAGAGCTCGCACTGGCGCCGCCGGTAGCGCTGCAGAAACCTCGAAGCCATTGGAAACGCGTTCACTCCTGGGTTGGCCATCCAAGTCATCTTCCAGGTTGCCCTAGCCTTAAGACCCCCTGAGGGGTTGATTCAACACGCTTGCCAAGGGCACGGTGTATTTTTGGGCTCCTTCCTGTTGTGAACCCTTTGTTTCATGTGTCAAACATGCTGTGCCCTTAGATCGGGTTTGACGAGGGCGCTTGGTCCAAGCGAGGGAGTCGCTTCCGTGAAATGTGCGCTTTGGTCCCAAGCTGGTCGGTTCGCACTAAAACTTGTCGTGGCACACCATGGGCCATGCACCAAAACGACCAGGAAGCCATGGCGCAAACCAAATCTGCCTCTAATCTTGCTGATTTCTCAATTTGCCATCTCGAACAGTCAAAGACTTTCGACTCCAGTCACCTTTCTCAGCTCACAGTCGTCAAGCCTTCCACTGTGAACCGTGCTCAGGCTGGCGCTCGGCATTTTTTTCCCGAAACGATTTCATGCGCGTGGCAAACCGCCCGCCCGACCCCGACACCTGTAAAACCAAATTATGCATGAACTTATTGATATTAATGAATATCATGCTAAAACTGAAGGTCCTATTTCTGGTTCCGGTACTTGAAGAATTAATACATCACGCCGATGTCTCCGGCAGCGCGGCACGAATGGCCTCCGTGGCTTGGCGCACCAGTCTGGGCCATTCGGAACCCGACGGCTCGCCTGTGGCGAGGTCCAGGTGCTGCTGCAACCAGTCCTTCCATTTGGTTAGGAACTTTTTTTTTGTCCAGTAGTGATAGATTCCCTTTAAAACCAACAGGGGAAACGCATCACCCACAGCCGCACTCATTGCTCGCTTTGGACTCTATGGCAGCTATCAAATGGTAGCTCCAGGGGAAAATGAACAACATATTCTTCACCAAATGGAAGCATAGATTCCCTCGAAAACCAACAGGGGAAAATGACAACATATTCTTCACCAAATGGAAGCATAGATTCCCTTTAAACCCAACAGGGGAAAACAAAAAGAAAATGTTCTGAAACGCAAATGGAAGTGTCGGTCCATCCGCTGGAGCCCCGCAGCTGGTCCCGCAGCAGCATCAGCTGCAGGCCCAGCCAGTTCTTCCCAGAGCCGTCGGAGTTGTTGGACCAAGTCACATCCTGTGCTGTAGATACCCCAGCAAACAGTTAAACCTGTGTAGGGAAACTGGTGATGTAGGTACCGATGGTCTGAGGCTAGCCAACTGGGTGTGTTCTTGACTAGGTCCGACTGTGGATTCATCAAGAAGGACCATACGAATGATCTAGGTTGTCCAGATTTGAGAGGTTAGAATAAGTTGGTACCCGATGTTTTTGTTTTTCCCCCTGTAGTCTATTTTAGTAGGGAAACCCTCCCCAAGAGAGGGTCAAAGGGCGCACTACTTTTAACCAGCACTCTTGTTTACAAATAAAATACATTCAGATTCTGCTTAGCTTGTCCAACCCAAAGTATAACATAATTCTGGAGGCGAGCCCTAAAAACTTGGGTGCTGTAGATACCCCCAGTCAACTTTTTGCCGGCTAAAAGGAAAAAAGATGAGGGGAATCCAACAAGTTGAAGTCTAAAGATCCAACCCAATAGCAGTAGAGCATCACGCCCGAACTTCGGATTGTGCTCCAGGAGGAAGGCGTCTTTGGTGGCCAGCAGCATCTCCTTCAGCTTTTCGTCCTGGAACTTCTGCGTCAGGACGTGGCGCATCGCCAGCCAGTTGCTGCCGTAGCCGCCATAGGTGTCATCCGCCAGATCCTGCTGATGGAGTGACCGTGAAAGTCGGAATGCCTCCTCCGCGGAGAGTTTGTGGAACTGATCCTTGTGGCTCCAAAACTTCAAGCACTGGAACGCGGCCTCCGCGTTCTGAAACTCACCTGGGCTCAAATCCCCCGCGAAAAGTCGAGCTTTTAGTGGGTTCAATGGAAACGACCACTAAACACTAATGGGGAAAAGTGACTAACTTTTGGTGGGTTCAATGGACACCACCACGCAACTCTAAGTCATGGGGGCCACCGAGTGACCCATCTCTTCCTTGCTTTGGCACCTGATCTGCAGCAGGCCGGGGAAGAAGTTTCCCAAGAAGCCAGCCTGGCAGACCTCATCCGCAGCCGTGCTGTGGCCGGGGAAGTAGAAGGCCAGGAGCCCTGCCGCTTCGAGAGAAGCAGTTGGCCCCGCAAAAGGCAGCGCCGACATGTCAACCAGAACCGGTCAACTAGATTTCGAGCCCAACTGACCCAACTTGGCCAAGCAAGTCACAAAGGGAGTAAGGATGGCATCCAGATTCCGCAAGAGTCGACTCGATCTTCGAACCAGTCCTTTTCTTTTAAGGCCTTGTGGTACACTTGGATCATCTGACTCAAACTCACTCGAGCTGGTCGCGATAAGCGTTCATTTGCGAGCAAGCAAATGCAGGGCGCCTGCTTTTGGATAAGCTTTTTTGAGCAAACACCCGACTCCCCGGCGACATTTTCTCTTGCAACCATAAAGAGGTGCTTTAAGACGAACTAGGCCTTGTCCCGTTGCGCGAAACTTAACGGTCGCCACCTGACTGCCAAACAAAGCGTAAGCTAACCTCAAGCCTATGACTAGGCTCAAGTTAGTCCAGCTCACTTAGGACCTGGACACGAACCAACAGTTCACTGGTATGCCTAAAATCGGGTCACACATCAGCTTTGTTTTTGCACCAAGGGAAGGATCGAGGACTTTCAGCCAGACTGCTTAACTTGGTTGCTGTTGACCCACCTGCAAAAAGTTTAACTTTTTTTGGGGTGTAGTGGAAAGCACCTTGATGTCCCCAAAGTTAAATTCTTAAGATCCATCCCAATAGCAGTCAAGGTAACTGCGGATTTATCCAGAAAGACCATACGGAACTTAGCACACATTTGTCCCAGCTTGCCGCTCTGATGGATGCCTAAACCAGTTGGGGTGGATGGCACCCTCATGGGAGAAATGGGTGTATCTTTGTTTTTGAGTGTAGCCCCCCTTTTTTGTGGTTTTACAGGCAGACCAAAAGGAACACCACTTCTACTTCTTCTTCTTCTTTTGCGGAGAGGGGGGTTCCCCCAAAAAAAGGACATCCCCAAACTCCTAACTGGGGTTTCGCTAGCAGACTTTGTCCATGGTCCCATCTTTCGCCCAGCGAGCACCCCGCTGAGGCAGCTCTGGCGCGTCCAGCCACAGGAGATATGTCCGCACTTTCCCCTGGCTGTCCAAAGGACTGGCCGGGCTTCGGAAAATGGGTGTGGCTCAAAATTAAACAGGAGGGGTTACGCAGGCTCTGGTCCATGTTTCCACTTACCAGGGTTCCATTTTGGTACCGCTTTTTTTCGCCACAGCCAAATGTTAACCCGGCGGAAAGCTCACTCCAGGTCGAGTGGATTGGCCAAATAAGTCTGAACTTTGGGTATTTGCCACTAAGATGGTCTTGCCTCAAAATATGACTTACCCCTTAAAACTCCAAGCCCTGGGGAAGTTAATCTTTTACAGACAGAAAGCCCATGTTACCCAAAAAGTTGAAAAGTTGTGCTTTTAAGAGGTAAGATGAGGCCCAGGAACTTAGGGAGTGAGAATTCGGAACATGAAGGGAAACCGAAGAGGCAACAAACACCAAATGGTGCCCCAATGAGGGTACCGACCAGTGGAATCCTGCAGGCAAACCTTGAGTCTCTGTTCCAGCTCCCTAAACCGCTCAGTCCCCCCCTCCAAAACAGGTAGCTTCTGGGCATGTTATTTTTCGGAGTGAACTGTTATTTTTCTACACGGAAACAATGGGAAAAACGCTTCTTTTGGTTTGTTGCGGGGGTCACCTCTGTCAACACACACCCAAACGGACCCTTCGGTGGACATCTCACTCAAGCTGAACTGTATAGTTTGTCATAGGCCATTTTGAGTGGACCTTGTTCTGAATCCACTCGGGAAGTGAGACATATGGGATTTTCTTAGGTGCCCATGATGTGATCCGTCTCGCATTCGCTTTGAGCGTGTGATTTCAAGGAGCTTTGGTTTCCATCTAAACCTATGGCCAGGTATCAGCTTTGGTGCAATGTGTCTTTGTGACATCCTTGGAGACACGTGGTTGGCCGTCGATGGATTGCCTTGGCTTAGACTCAGGGGAGGATTGCCTCAGGGCTTTGTGCAAAGGGGCGAGCGTGTTGATTGTGCTGTATTGTTAGACTTGAGACACGCGGCAAAGAGCATCCAAGGTGGGCAATTGCTGATCAAACAACCTAGTTGTGGGCCTTTTTCACACACACGGCCAGAGAACCCATTTCCAGCTACACGACTTATTTCGAAGCCACAGCTTTCTCCCCCGAGCGCACCCTTGACCTCGGTTCCGAGCATGGCCTGACTCGCTGCAGGTTGCAACTCGCTGCAGGTTTGTTCAGGTCGGAATACTTCCATTTGCTTAAGAATCAGTACGAACATATTTCCAGTAGTGATAGATTCCCTGAAGAACCAACAGGGGGAAATCCAAGACATTCTTAAGCAAATGGAAGAATATACACAGGGAAACCAACTGCTGTTTGCAGGGACTCCCCAAAACGGTCTGTCTCTTGGTGTCCCTTTTTAAGCCACCCCAACCAGGCATCCCTTTAAAAAAAAATGCACACCGAACAATTTGGCAGTCAATCAGATTAACAAATTTACAGAACACCACTACACATAATAAAATATAGACACATGTTTCCCCTCTCTTTAATCCGCTGTCGCCCTCTGGCATCCAAGTTCGGATACGAGGATGTGTTCTTTTGATCCCCAAATCCCACGGGGGAGTCGAATTTGATGGACGTTAGGACTTCGAGCTGGGGATCCTTACATGGCTATGGGTCAAAAATGCGGTAACCCCAAAATGGCTTGCCCTGCCTGGGAAATGGAGCCAAAGACTAAAACCTGCGGTCCATATCCTGGTGGGTCTATGTTGACCCATACCAACATGGAAGGTATTTTTCCAGCACTCGACTGACGCTTCCCTTGAAAGCCTTGCTCAAGTCTGCGGGCCTTCAAGTACGAGCTATATAACTTCTATCAGGGAGGGAGGTGCGTTCGCTTTTTTGGAATCACAGTTTCATATGGATTTCATTGGCACAAAGCAGGAGTGAGTTCGGAGTGAATGGCCGACATTGCTCATGACGCATTTTTCCAGCGTGGCTTGTACCATCTTGGCCGAACTGAAACATGTCAACCTGCCCCAAAGTCCTTGAGCTCAAACCGGTGGTCAGAGCCCATCACAGATGGCCAACGACTTGTGGAACCCAGTTGCCCCATGGCGCCCCTTTTTCCCTTTTCTTTGGGGAAGGGTTCTCCTTTAATCTTGACCAACCAACACAGGATTTGTTTGTTTGATTTTTTCCCAAGGGGCCACCAGGTTCCGAGCCTCCGGACCGTGTTGAAAGGAAGCAGAAAGGGAGTCAACCACTTGGAGGGGAATAGTTCTCAGAAATTTGAACTCCTCAAGGAAGCACAGGGACCCCCTCAAAAGTCCATCTGTTCCCATGTCCACTTTGAGAGCCAACCGCCAAGAAGGAAACACTTGCGGGAAAGACCCCATTGAACTCCTAACCCTTTTAGTTGAAAGCACCGGCAGGAAACTCCTTTGACAAGTAACCTACAGCCCAGCGCAAGAAGGATGGGATTGGAGCCTCTTCCACCAAGGCGGCCCTTTTCTTGGGGGAACCTGGCGCTTTTCGGATCTGGCGGCCCAGTGGCCAGTGGGTGTAAAAACTTTAAGGACTCTAGATGGGAGTCCGAGACCCAAATCGGACCCTTCAGTCGACCCATTTTTGAGAAACAGCGATGAAACTTGGACTGATGCTCTTGCGGTCTTGCGGTGAGGCAAGAGCACTCTGGTGATAGGGGCCCGGCTCAGGGCCCAGGCAAACGGAGCCCAGGATCACCTGCGAAGGTCAGGGTTGGATTTTGGGCTTGTTCAATGGGTAAGACATGGGTTCAATTGGTCTAGGTGAATGGGTTGAGGGGTTCAACCCGCCGAATGGATGCTACGAGTTTGTTTTGTGCAAGCGATTGCGAGAACCTGTGTAGGCTCCCCGCGGATTAATACGGTGTTGCCATCCCAAAGTGATCCGGATCTCCCAAATGGCACTCAGAACACATCAACCAGAGCTTTGCTATCCTGGCGTCCCCTTCACATGCAAGCTTCAAGAGGAAACTGGGCTTATATGAGAGCTTCCATGTTGCAAACAGCCTTTAGCTCCCTGCGATCTCAGAAGTAAGACATAGTAAGACCATCAGGAATTTCTCACTACCCGGAGGACCACACAAGATCAAGCGCCGGGAAATCCATGGGGATTGACTGGCCTCATTATTTACCAAAGTCGCCTTTCAAGTGGAAGGCGAACGGCAAAAGGGAAACAACCCCAGTTGCTGACTTTGATACCCCCTCCAACAAAAACACCGCACAACATACACAAATCAGTCACCCAAATGATCCCAGATTGGTCTTTACAAGTTGCAGTGTTCCTTTACCTCAGGGGTCCCTGAGTTTTGGTTGGCCCATGGAACATGTTTTTTGGGATTATGTCCACACAGGGCCCAGTTGCCCACAACAAAAATCATCGCCAAAGACCTCTTGGCTTCCCCAAGTTTTAGAAGCTCCTGGAACTTCAGAGCCTAGGTGCCCTCAACCACATGGGGGTTGATCAGAAGGTCCATACATGACCATTGGTTAAGCCACTCAACCGAATCGATGTTTCCACATGGGTCAAAATCCCGTAGAGTGAACATCCCAATCCAACTAAGAAGGTTCTAACATGGGTGGTGAATTCACCTACCCCCAAAATGGGATCCCATTTGTTTTGACAACCACAGCCGCCTCAAAATGGGTGGCACATGGATGAACTCCTCCGCCCCAAAGGGATCGGCATAGGTTATGGCCCATGGCCCATGGCCCATGGCCCTCGCGCCTGGGCGATGCGGATGTCCTCTTTGGGGACGAGGATCACCTACCGAGCGCATTTTTGTTTCTTCTCGAGGCCACCGAGGAGAAACCGGAACAAGGGTCCATAGGGTGGGTAAAAAACGGGGTTCCCCCCTTTTGGCGTTGGCTTGAAAAGGAACGCCAAGAGGACAACCCCTTCTTTTCTTCCGGATTTTTTTTCTTCTTCTTCTTTTTTTGGGGGTGGGGGCCGAGAAACTGCCTTCTATCGGCAACACCCAGAGTTTCCACTAGGAGTTGAAGATTGACCTCCTCGCATTTGTCAATGCGATCCGTCTCCGGAAGGGCTATTGAATTTATAGATTTGTGGGTCATCAACATATTATCTTCAAACATCCTGCAACAACGGGGAGACAATGGCAAATGGACATTTGCCTGTCCTCAGGCTGTAACTGGAAGGCAGTCGATGATATGCTCGTGATCATTTCGCAGCTCGTTCAACTCAAAGGGATCCCAAAGGCAATCGATCACCAGTGATTCGGAATCCTGACTAAAATGGTTCGTTTCCGCAGTCGCTGATATGACTCTCCCATTGTAACAGTACTGATGCCCTAAGGAGGGGCTTGGCGTGGATGGGAACCAAACAAAACACAATCCGCTGATCCACCTCCATTCCAGCATCCAAAGATGGGACCCTTGCGCATGTGCCCGCAACAGCAACAGCTATGTCTCCATCGACATCCTGATCTACTCCACCACCGAATGGCATTGGCTTTGGCCAACGGCGGAGCGTGATCTGACCAACAAAGTCACATCCAGAGGCTTCCCACTTGGGCTTGATCATGATGGCCTTCAGCAAGAATCATTCGCTCAGCGCCGTAATTACGGCGCCGAGCTGCTGGCTTAAATTTCGCGCAATGGATTTGGAACTGGAAAGATCGAAATCCCCGCATGAATGCCCGAAGTAAAAGGGAGTTTCTCAAGATGGAGGACCGCGTAAAGGGAAACTGAAGGAAGCCAACCATTTCAGGGGACCCCAATTTTGAGATCGCCAAGCTCCTTGGCCTTCGGATCACTTTGGGCATGGGACGACCTCTGAAGCGACCGAGGCCGAGGACATCGAGCGGGAGTTGTTCCGCAAGAATATCAGTAGTCGACCCCGCGATTTGTTGTTGTTGTTGTTGTTGTTGTTGTTGTTGTTGTTGTTGTTGTTGTTGTTGTTGTTGTTGTTGTTGTTGTTGTTGTTGTTGTTGTTGTTGTTGTTGTTGTTGTTGTTGCTGTTGCAACAGTCTTTTCTCGAAAATCGAAGATACGACTGATGCAGCTTTTCCTGCGCAAGGCGCTCAGCAAAGCGAGGCTACATCCTAGAGTTGCAGAGTTCTAGGAGCGCAGAAAGGTGCTGCCCCGGGCCTGCTTTGGCCCCCTTTTTTGCGCCTTGAACCTGGTTGTCGCCCAAACGAACCCTGTTTGTTGTACTTTAATCCTTCGACGCCATGGTCGGTGCAAACGGTGACGGTGAGCTCAGTGCCAGCCAACGTGGCAGGCAGCTGCACCCGGTTTCGCAACTCCCTGAGGGGCAAGCTGCCTTGAACCGGGCAGGAACTACACCGCGTACTCGTTCCCGCTCACGTGAGTTTGAGCCGAATGTGTCTGATCCACCCGGATTGTTACCCTCAGAGAGGCAAGCTGAAGAAGTGAAGATCACGGAGATCAAGCGGCTGGTGGAGGAGGAGCTGAAGGGCTTTCTGCCCCCAGACGCTATCAAGTGCATCAAGAAGAGCTCTTTAGAGTTGGCCGCAAAGATCCAGCAGCTCCAGAAGACTAATGCCAGAATCAGCAAACTAGATGGCGATCTCAAAGCTCTAGCTGAAGGACGTATTCCGAATGGCTCCAAGCCCTTCCCTGTCCTTGGGGTGGACGGTGAACTTTCCTGAGGGCTCCACACTGAGAGCTTGCAGAGAGCATCTCTACAGAGCGTTTCTGGAGAAAATGCGAAGTTTTGACTTGATCCTCGCACGTCAGCAGCGTGAAGAACTACGCTTGCTGACCAAGAAGACTACTTTTGTGGACAAGTGTTTGCAAACAAGATCAGCACGGTCATCCCTCTGGCAAGAACTGGATTTGGACGTTGATGATGACGAGGTTGACCTTCAAACCATGTCGGAAACGTCGCTCACAGCGAAAGCCACAGTAATCTACAAGCGCGCAGTTGAAAAAGCGGCGTCTGCGTTGAAAGCCAAAAAGGATTTACAGATCCGGAAGGACCAGCAGAAGGACAAGATGCTCAATAGCCTGTTACAGACTTCGCCGCAGGATTTTCTGAACCAGGCCATTGACCAGCGCATTGCCGTTTCCAAAGCCAAAGCAAAACCGGTGAGCAAGAAGATGCCCAGAAAGCCCCCAGGGTTGAACGTTGATGCTGCCGCAGCTTTTGTCTCCGCAGCCGCTGATGCAAACATGTCCAAGGAGTCCCTTGAAGCTTTTGTCAAAGAAAGTGCCCCCTCACGCTGGGGCTCTCGGGGCAAGTCCAGTGGTAAGGGCTCAGGCATGACTACTTGGAAAGGCAAGGGCCCTCCAGGACATGCTGGCAAAGGAAAGAAGGGAGACTGGTATGGCAAAGGCGTAGCCAACCCCAAAGGCAACCGCAACAAGTCGGGCAAAGGGCATGGCGGCAAATCTGGAGGAAAAGGCAAGAATCAGGGAAAGCTGAACTCAGTTTTTCGCTTCGGCAGGAAGGGAAAAGGCAAAGGCGAAAGCGCTGGAAAGCAGCGAAAAGGAAAGAGCAATGGCTTCCAGTGGGATGCCTGAGCAGTGGACTTAACACCTTTCTGCGATGGATTCGCGGCATGCCAATTCCTGAATTTTGCTGCCTTTTGCAATGTGGGCTTGGACATGGCGGTGTTTACATGTATTCTCCTCTGGACAAAGAGGCTTGGGTTCCTTCGTGCAGAGAACTACCCTGGCCCATCGAGTTTGTCCTGCGTTTGCATGCAAAGCATGTGTTTCTACCCCGGAAGTCGCCATCGCTGGCCAGAATTTCTTTTGCATTACAACAATGGGAATTCAAGATACGCTGGATGCATTTTCACGGCAAGTTTGCCCAAAACAACGAACCGCGCAGTGTTCCACAATGGTGGAAGCTGCGCGATCACAGTTTGACCCCACCCATTGCAGATCCTTTGCCTGATGCCTGGGAATCATTTCTACTAGAGGCAAAGAACGCTGCTTTGGGAGCCTGTGTCACTGCTAAGAGCTTTTTCCTGGACAAGAAGAATCAATCTTCAAACTTGAGCCAAGTTGCCCGACATGGCTTGCGTATGCTCAGGAAAGGACCTTTGGGCGCTGTGCCTACTGACAAAGATGGTGGCTTTGCTGTGTGTGATAAGACTGCTTTGCAGAACGCCATCTTCGCATCTTTACGCGAGCCACAGTATGAAGAGGTATACATGCATGAGGGCATGGTGCATGACATGATCCAGCAGTATCGTTCTGTCTCACACGCAATCGGTGCAACAACTGGTGACGAAGACTTGGCTTCTACTTTGGTTTCCTCTTTACGCAAAGGCTGCAAAGAGTGTGTTTGTTCTATACGGACAACGGTGAAGACACACAAGCCCCGTGGTGAGGTGTCTTTGCGCATGATACATGCTGCTCCAGTGCATTTCATGAACCCTGGTATGCGTTGGGTTGGTTACCATTTGAAGGCTTTCATTAAGCAACAACAACACATTCTTCGTGACTCGGACCATTTGCTGGCACTTATACGCGCAATTCGAGTTCCGACAACGGCCCGGCTTATCAAATTCGATATAAAAGACTTTTTCATGAGTGGCAAACACCGTGTGTTAGCTGATCTTGCTGCACAGTGTTTTCCGACTGATTTGAATGAGGATGCCCGGTGCATGATTGACTGCATTCTTGAGAACCAACTGGTGAACATACCTGGCAGCAACAATTTTTGGGCTGTCCGGGTTGGCACGGGCATGGGCTTGCGGTGCTCAGGCGAGCTATCTGATGCTTGCTTTTACAAGCTGGCCGAACAACAGTTTGCTGCATGCCCAGTGACGCAACAAAGATACGGTGTGCTTCTTTACTGCCGCTTCAAAGATGATGGTTTGATTGTCATCGACGGCTCTAACCAACAGCGGTTTGAGTTCTGCAGAAATAAATTTGAAGAAGAAGGCTGCATTTTTCCAAATATCGTTTGAGAGCGTGTCGCAGACCGAGGTCGAAATGTTGGATGTTCGTTTGTTTAAAGGTCCTGGTTGGGCACGTGCTGGTGTGCTTGACTACGCTTTGCATCTCAAAGAGAGCAGGCAATGGCGACCCCTTTTGCCCAGTTCCGCACACCCGAAGTCTGTTCACGTGTCTTGGCCACTCGCCCAGATTCGTCGCATTTTGAACAGATTCAGTGACAAACACGCAGGCAGAAGAGCTGTCTGCGATTTCCAGGGGAGGCTGTTCCATAGTACAGGTCTCTCTTTTAATTTGGCAGCCCACACCCACCAACCTCAATCCTCCAGTAGGGCTGATGTCAAGTGCGTCTTACCTCGTCTCATTTTGCCGCACTGTGCAGAATGGTCTGAGGCAAGGATTACTGAAGCTATTTCAAACGCGTTTAGGCGCACCAACTTGTTTTCTGAGTTGGGCCTTTCACGCGAGCGCCAGCCGGTGCAAATTGCGTGGAAGTTGGGCGGCCGTCACCTCGTGCACGTGCTACGCTCTTTTAACTTGCTCTAACTACAGATATTGGAGGTGTCAAGGGGATGGATGGTGGGAATTTGTTGCTGTTGCAACAGTCTTTTCTCGAAAATCGAAGATACGACTGATGCAGCTTTTCCTGCGCAAGGCGCTCAGCAAAGCGAGGCTACATCCTAGAGTTGCAGAGTTCTAGGAGCGCAGAAAGGTGCTGCCCCGGGCCTGCTTTGGCCCCCTTTTTTGCGCCTTGAACCTGGTTGTCGCCCAAACGAACCCTGGATGGAAACCAAACAACACACAATCCGCTGATCCACCTCCATTCCAGCATCCAAAGATGGGACCCTTGCGCATGTGTCCGCAACAGCAACAGCTATGTCTCCATCGACATCCTGATCTACTCCACCACCGAATGGCATTGGCTTTGGCCAACGGCGGAGCGTGATCTGACCAACAAAGTCACATCCAGAGGCTTCCCACTTGGGCTTGATCATGATGGCCTTCAGCAAGAATCATTCGCTCAGCGCCGTAATTACGGCGCCGAGCTGCTGGCTTAAATTTCGCGCAATGGATTTGGAACTGGAAAGATCGAAATCCCCGCATGAATGCCCGAAGTAAAAGGGAGTTTCTCAAGATGGAGGACCGCGTAAAGGGAAACTGAAGGAAGCCAACCATTTCAGGGGACCCCAATTTTGAGATCGCCAAGCTCCTTGGACTTCGGATCACTTTGGGCATGGGACGACCTCTGAAGCGACCGAGGCCGAGGACATCGAGCGGGAGTTGTTCCGCAAGAATATCAGTAGTCGACCCCGCGATTTGGTCTTGGATAGATCAAAGCTAGTCTATCCAACCCGGGTGGCGTTGGTTCAGTGAAGCAACCCTCACTCGCTCCATTCCTTGGCAACATGAGCTGGCCCTTGTCTTTGATTTGGGGGCGGTTCCCGTTTTTAGGATTTGGACACATGGCAACATCGCGCCATGGTTTTCCTTTAGTTTCCCTTGAACACCATAAACAACTGGGTACGAGAAACGAGCCACCCGTTTGAAGAACAGACCTCCAGTCACTCACATCGACTCTGGCCTCATCCCGGAGGGTGCCTGGCCAGCTTACAGTGGCACGGGGAAATGCTTCGAAGGCCAAGTTGCAGGTGAACAAGACAAGCTCTGGCAACGAATGGGCTGGTGGAACTGATCCCAAAGCTACGCTTTTTCTTTCTTAATATCCGCATAGCTGAAGCTTGCAGATCCAAAGTTTGCATTGTGAAGCCAGAGGTTTCCCCTTGAGCTTCGTTTTGGCTTCGTTCCCAGGTTCTACCTCTTTGAGTTGTCCCACGAAAGCAACCGGAAGCTCTGGCCGAATTGGTTTGCTGCCCAAAAGGCAGCTTTCCGTGTGCAACTGGTGCTTGACACCTCTGACAAAACGTCCAGAGTCCGAAGTCGAGAGGATATATTTCTCGTGTCCAAATGACACACCCTGCAACCTCCATGGCTTGGCAACCCAGTTTCTCATCCACTTTACAAACGGGTAGTCCAAAATGGATGGTTGCTCAGGAAATTCCTGGAACATCCTGGAACCCACCGCATGGAACCGAACTCAAAGAAATCTCACCTCTCAACTGCTTTATGACGCTCACTTCTTCTGAGGCCCACTCACTCTGGGCATCCTCTGCAACCCTAAAAAAGAAGTTCAAAAGAACAACCCCTCGCAAAATGGCGACCCGGTTCCCAAAAGCAGACTTTTGGTGCTTCCACAGTATTCTGCATGCGTTGATCGGAATAACTCAGAGCCACGCGTTCCGGACATGGCCAAACGCGCTGTCCGCAAAACACGGGGGAAGGGGAAACAACAGAGTTCCAACGAATGATGGATCTGCCCAGAAGTCCAACCAAAACCGAAGCCATCTTGACGGATCTACCGAAAACACCCCGCCCTGTGCGACCTGTGCGAGAGGGGCCGACTCCGGAGCCTTCCGTGAGGGAGCGAGGGACTTGCACCACCTCATCCGCATGGAAGGAGCTCAAAAAAAAGGGCGCCGGGGGGGGGGGTCCAGAGCAAAATCTGAAGAGCATTTGCTCCCGTTTCCCTTTTCAATCCCACGTTTTTTGTTCTTCTTTCTGAACCCTGATCCTGGCAATCTGGATCTGTGAACAAGGCCATCTGCAAGGGGCAGCGGTTCCTGAAGCGTGTGGTTGAGCATCCCCAGGAGCCGCAGTCTGAGTTTTGCACTTGGAACGGCTCCGATTACAGTCCCTGGAGTTCACACATCGCCTGAGCGCTGTGAATTTCAAGAGGTTGATACATTTTGATCGAGTGGATTGGCCACAAGAAGTCTGAATCTCTTATTTAAATTAAAATGGCCCAGACCTATCAAGTATGAAGTGCAGGAACCTGACCGGGCCAGTCAACCTATCCTGGTAAAACAAAAAACACATATAACTCGTTTTACTCAGTGGCTCTCGAAAATTCGGCTAACCTCAATCATCCGAGTAAACACACTATTACCCACTTTCTCAGCAATTCATTTCTCGAAAATTACCCTTGTAACTACGAGTGAGTTACCCTCTAACATCCACCAAGCGGTGCTTCTAACAAAGGACAATCGTAACCACCCCTCGACGTCAGGTTCCAAGGCACCATCAGGAGAGCACTCAAAACCTTGCCGTTGACATGCCGTTGACCCTCTGCAAAACATCTTGTTTTCTTTTTCACATTTTGTGGCTGCAACTCAGAAAACCCGAACCTTCAACCAAAAATTAAAGTCGCACAACTTCGCTACCAACAAGTTAGAGCCCAAAGATCCGGCACACCAAACAGCCAATTAGTCAACCCCTCAGAACAAGCCGGACATCTTTCTTCCTCCCGGGAAAGACTCGGAGAAAAAAACAAAACCACCAGCGAGTCCCTGGATGGATTCGTGTCCTTCCTTTCCGAAGGCCTCGGGCCAGGGCCCAGGCGTGTAGCTGGCCCAAGGTCCTGAAAGCAAAGTCCCAGTGTGTGGACCTGGCGCTTCTTTTCTGATCGAAGCCCCGAGTCGGAACCCAAGCGGCCGCGAGGAAAGCCGAGGCCGGGTCGGAGGTTGATCCGTTTTCGGAGTTGAAAGGCCGAGGTCAGTGCCAAAACACGAGGGGTTGCCTGAAAAGGAGATGCCTGGAAATTTCAAGAGTCGAAACGAAGGCACCAAAGATGAGACTCGATTTGTCCCGCCCTGGCACACGAATTGAGTCTACACATGACCACTGTGAGGAGGGACGAGGCTCAGGGGCGGGGTCCTATTCTAGCTAACAGAAAAAGGCACCTGGGGTCGTTTTTGAAGAGTGTTGTGTTGTGGTCAAACCCACTGAAACAAAACCAAAACTCACAACAAGCTCAATTCTGGTTGTCACAACTTGAGATCCCCCTGTCGAATGTAAAGGAAGAACAGAACCAAGCGTTCTCAGGCCCCCCCATGTTTGATCACACTGGTTCTTGTTTGGTGTTGTTTTTCTTCCTCGAGTTGTAGGATGCTTGGGTCACTTTCAAGAAACGCCCACCCAAATTCGGGGAAACTCGCCTGGTAGACATCTCCTCCCAAAAAAACCCTTGAGATATCTTGAGATTTGACGGCGCCCGCTATCCAAGCCAGGAGCTTCCCTCGAAAAGGCTGGTCGGGGGGCCAATTCGGTAGCCAGAAGGCTCAAATCCCCAAGCCATCAATCCACCAACGAGGGGTTACCTGGGATAGTTGTTGGAAGAGACAGAGAGACACCAACACATTCAGAGAGGGGTTAGGTGGCTTGAAGCCAGCGCTTTGACCTGCTGACGAGCAACCGGAGCAAATCCCACCCATCCATGCGCTTGATTCAAAGACCCCCCCCAGTTGAACCTGAGAAACGCTCCCCGTTTTCTTTAACAAGGAAAACACCAACAAAAAAAACCCGAGGCGCATTTCAGGGCAGGGACCTGCGGCCATTTTTTTCAAATCCTCAACCCGTCCGACCTGAAGCTTGCGCTCTCCACCATCGGCAGGAACCACTTGGAAAACCTGGGCCAAAGCTCCCCTCACTCGAGGAGTCACTAGGCCCCTCACTCCAGAGGAGTCGAGTGGAGATCCCGTGCCTGAGGGCTTGGGCCGTGGATGGCATGTTGTGTGACGGCATTGGATCTGTCTTCAATAGGAGTTGTGTGACGGCGGCATTGGATCTTGCAATGTTGTCCTTAATAGGAGTTGTGTAAGTAGATGGGGCAGCGCGGATCCGGTTCTCATTTTCAAGGGACACTCGGCAAAACAACGCAAAGTGGTCACCTCTCTTCCGAGCGAGCACACACATAGGTGAACTTTGAAGAAGTTTATGGCTCTGGTGATGGAAAAACCCATTTAACAGCCATCTATTTCTTACCAAACTATCTCAAACAGGAAAAGCTATGCACACAAGTCGTCTCCCCCAAACATACAAAGTCCAGCACCTCTTGTGTGTCGGAGTTCCCCCCCACCACAACCAGCAAGTCCAGGCACTCAGCGAGAAAGCGGTTCGGCAAAGCCGTGGTGTGGGGAATAAGCCCCAATGGTTTTGGTGTCTTTCTTTCGGGGATTCCCCAAAATGGCGCAACGGTTCTCCCTTTCGTTTCCCTTGAGCACCATCCAAAGACACGCCCGGGTGGGACCTTTGGAGCCCTAAGATGCCGTCTTCCGAAGCCCTCCGACTCCCAGCACCCGATCCCCGGACAATGGTTGGCTTCTTCTCATCCCTTTCAATACCAAAGGGATCCCAAGACCCCCGCAATCGCCAGGTTTGGAAACGTAGGTGGGAGGGCACTCTGGTCAAGCCCTGTGAATCCTGGTAAACAAATACAAATAAAGACAGAAAAACAACCCCATGGGTAGCCAGGTGTGGACCCAGAGTAAGCCCTGTGAAACCTGGCAAAAGAAAAAAACAAGCACCACCGTGGCTCCGAGCCCATCCTGGAGCTTCTTGTCCAGCTTTTTGCAGATCTTCCGGAACCCTGCGACCGAAACAAGGAACCCTGACCACAACCCGTCCCCCTCCCCAGATCCCCCCCACACAAGTCGTCTCCCAACAACTCGGAGGCTTGGCACAGCCAAGAAAAGCAGAACTGCTGTTGTCACTCTGATTTTGAGAGCCAACAAGAACACCCTTCCCAGAGTGGTTCTAACTCCGTCCTAAAAAACAAAAAAAAACACTCAATCCAACAATTTTGAGTACCGCATGGGGCCCTAAGTGGGCATGAATTCTTAGAACACGGCTCCTGCAGACCTGGGATTTTCCTCTTCGGCACGGTGTTTTCCGAATCCCAGCGCTTTGACCGAGCTCCGAAATTCTCGGCCCCTCGGCCCGGTCACCAATTTCTCGCCAGTGGTCCGGTCCCGGAAAAACGGCAAACCGTTTGGGGCTCCAAGGTACAAACTTCGGTCTGGATTCCCAGATTCGGGTGACACGGGAAGATATGTTCATGAAAGCTGGGGAGGAAGGAGGCGAGGGGGAGGGAGCCCAAATAAGCCCTGATTAAGCCCTTATCAAGGCCTGATTTAGCGCTTATTTGGGCTCCCTCCCCTTGCCCTCCCTCCCCCCCAGCCCCCGTGATAGTTCCATGTACCGAACCTGACAGGTTCCAGGCTCCGGCAAGCAAGGGGATGCCTATGGACACTTGCCGCGTCTGGGCAGACCTTGACAGAACTTTCTCTGCCTTGAACAGCACCTTTTTTTTTAACACACACCCACACGGGCCGTTCAATCTTCAGAATGGGTTGGGGTACGTGACGCGGATGCGACCAATTGATGGCTCAGGAAGCTGAGAGAGAGCGGTTGTTTGGGCGTGCATTCTTTTTGCCCTGAGTTGGAAGCTGTTTAAACATGTTTGGACATAAGTGCAATAAATCCCCGATGAATTGTCAATATTCAAAGCTCCTATGCACCGTTATATATGGGTGAGAAGGCTGGAGATTGAACGCCAGTTATAAGAACATCTGCATCGGGGTAAAGGATTTACTATCCAGCCCCTTACACTACTGGACTGTCCTCAGATCCCCCGCTCAAGTTTAACTTTTAGTGTCCCACTAAACACTAAAAAGCTAAAAAACTCAGGGGGTCAATGGCAAAACCAAATTCGGCTAAGCTTGAAAGTTGAGATCGAGCTACTGGCCGCCTTGCCCTCACCTTTGTCAAGCACAGTTGGGCTTACTGGAGACAGCATGAAAGCAAGCATTGGTCAGGCTCCCAACATTCTCCCAGCACATAGTTTCTGCCAGCTTTGTCCTTTTGACCAACCTCTGGCGATTCTAGGCCGAATTACTTGATTCAGTGTCTCTAAGGGAGCACCATTGTCACCATGGTGGTTTGTCTGTTTTGAGGCCCCCTTTTTTTTTTGGGGGGGGGTCAAAGAAATCCATTTTGGCAATCGTGGGCCCCGGTGATTCCGTGCCGAGCCTAACTGATTGATGTTCCAAAACCGAAAGAGCTCGATGTAGTCCTGAGCATTTGGACTCCTGCTCTCCGCACTGGACTCGAACGAAGCATCCTTAGACAACTGGGGGGGAGAGCAACCATGTATTATGTATCCTTTTTCACTGGTCCAGACATTTCATTGGGAAACAAAGGCGCGTCAGACAGGGGTTGGAACCCCTTGCCTCAGCAAGCCGTCCGCTTTTGGAGCCCTAAGGAAGCGGCCAAGGAAGCCAAGGGCAACGTGGCGTTGCAACATTGGATCAAACATATTCCACTATTTTTGGTGGAGACATCGATTCCCCTTAACATCAAAGAGGGAAAATCGCCAGTGGTGAAATTGATTCCCTTTTAAATCAAAAAGGGCAAATCAACAGAGTTCTTCAGCAAATTGGGTCCTGGAGGAGCGTGTCGAGGCGCCCGGGCTTGTAGTACTGCCTAACGAGCAGCTTCGGGCGGATTTGCGCAACTTGGGTTGAATGGTTTTGACAGACTTCCCCAATTCAAAATAGGCTGATCCAATATGGCAAGCCCACACCTCTGGGGAACAAGGCAGTTTTGTTCTTTTCGGGGTTGATTCTTGGAGGGTTCCACCCCCGTGCAAACAAAAAAGCAACAAGGAAAACGACCGTCCTGGGACTCGGAGTTCGAGGTTTTGGGGTGGCTTGACCAACAGTCCCCCAGAGAAACTGGTCTGATACAGCAACCACACCCAGTGGGGAAACCTTCCGGTTAACTCGCCGCCTCTGCAGCATGTAGCGGGCCTCCCCGCTGATGGTCTGGCAAGACGGTTGCAAAAACACGAGGGCCCCCATGGTCATCAAATGGCTCTGGAAAATGTGGGTATGAATTCGAATTGGGGACCTGGAATGGTAGACATCAAAATTCGGTGGGGTTTCAGGCAACCACCACCAACCACTTTTTAGGTGCCTGCCAACTCTAAACAATCATAGACGGAATCAGCCCAAACTGATACGGGGCTGGAAACCTAATGAATCCATTCGCCTTGCTCTATGTAACGCAGCCCCTTGTACCACAGAACTTCAATCCGCTTCAGTTCCAAGGCCCAGAGATGAGGTTTCCAGAAAAAAACCTTGGACAAACCAAGCTGAGACAAGGCTTAAGAACACACCTGTGGCAGCATTGCGAGCTGCTGAAAACACTTGCCCAAACGGGGTGTGTCTTGAAGGGGGGGCTGTGAACTGAGCATCAAGCTTGAAATTCCACAGGACCATCAGCAAAATCGCGCTTGATGTCACCGGTGGCTCCGCTGACTCTTTGAAACAAAGCCACGTTTGGGCCGAACTATTTGCAGCTGGTGCGGGCAGTTGCGGTACGAGCTTTTCCTGAAGCAGCCTCACCGACCGCCTTTCTTGGCTTAAAAAACGGTGTGCTCTCTAGGGTGGGAGTTGGAGTGAAGTTGGGGTCGAGTTGGAGTGGGGACGGATGGGGTGGAATTGAGGCTTGGGGTGGGGTTGGGGTGGAATTGGGGTGGAGTTGGGGTGGAGGTGGGGCTGCAATGCGAGTAGTGGAAATTCAACTTGGAGCATGGCTTCAAGTGATTCACAGATACCACCGCAATATGCAGCTTCTACGCCTTTTGGCAAGCAAAGGCGAGATCAGTCCGTCCTTTCGTAATCAAAAGATAAGGGATTTCCAGACCGGACACGGGAAAACATAGGCACTCCGTTTTGTTGGCAGTTGGGTATGTCAAACTTAAAATACCAGCCCACAGGCTTTAGTCCTTCCGTCCATTTACCAGGCTTCGATTCTACCTATTTTGACCCACACCCAGTGAGAATTTTCCATGGACCAATAAGTTGACCAAAGCACAACTTCTCTGGGGATTGCCTTTCGGCACGTGAAGTGGACTGCTCGGAAGGGTACAAGTCAAGAAGGCTAAGCCCCGCACAACTGTACTGGCATAAGGGAAATTTGGATCCGCTGACATGCTCTCCCCAAACTGAAATGAGTGGAGACTTTAATAGAGTCTGGTGTTTTAACTCCCTTGAACTCCATATTCGCTGCGTATCATTTACTTTTGGAGCTAAACGGAGCTTCATGAGCAGAGACTACTCGTAGTTGTTTCAGTTTCTAAACTGATCCATTGCTTTTTGGCTTCCTTTCAGAAGCCCAACCCTGCCGGCAACACCCCCTTTCTCCCCAAAGAGCCGCAGGACCGTGCAGTCTTGAAGACCCACACATCACCAACATCTTACATATTCTTGTATATATAAATAACTTATGTTAGAGGAGTTGCTGTAGCAACTCACTTAATATTGATTGACATGTTTTCTAATCAACAACTAATGAGTTAAATCTAAAAAAACGTTTTGATGAAGCAACCTCGTGCTGGTCTCCCTTTCTTTGTGCAACGAATCTTTGCAGACCCCGCAGGCACGGCGCCTCCGCCTGCAGCTGAGCAAAGCTATCGACCTTCGCGAGCTGATGCCTCGCCATTCGGGACATCGAACACGGGTGGCGGGCGAGCCTTGATGCCTTTTCGATCGGACATCTTCAGGTCTTGAAAAAGGAGGTCTTCAAGGTGAATGATGCACTCATGCCTTTTTGTCCAGCTTCTCCTGGCGTTTGATTTCATGGTCTCTCAAAATCGAGAAAAAAAACAAAAAAAACGTCGGTCCATCGCCTAAAGCCGTCAGCTACCCATGTCGGGGGCTCCACTTTTTCCACCGGTTCCAGAGAAAAACCGACCGGCTTCCTCTGCAAGGGCCTGGCAAAAGGTCCTTGCGACGGGTGCGAGGCCAGGCCCCACCGGTCGAACGTTTTTGGGCAGGAGGGTTGGTTCTGATAACGGCCAGGCGAGGACCAAAGAGGATCTTTTGATGCAAAACTTCTCACATGGCCATGGGTCAAAATCCAAGAAAAGGTGAGCCCCCAGTGAACATCAACCAATCCAGCCACTAACATCGACTAAAATGGGTGGTGAATTCACCTACCCCAAAATGGTAGCATTGGTTTTGACCCACAGCCACATATTTTTCAGGAACTTATTTAATTTTGGGGTCAACATATTCAACTTTTCGTCAAGAAGGCAGGGGAAATCACACTTAAATAGGCTCGATTTAATGTTGGGGAAATATGTGTTTGAATCTCAACTGGGACCCTCTTGGGTGGACATGATTTACGCGGGGATTCATGTCCATCATATTTGAGGGTGTTCCGCCTCTCAAAATTCAGAAATTTGAGACAAAGGGACCCTTAAACCATCCGGTACCTTTAACCCATTGGGGTACCTTACAAATGGGGGCGCCCTTAAGAACAAGGGGTACCTTCAACAAGTTGGGGTACCCTAACTAGGTCCTCCAGAGAGGTTAGAATCAGGGCACCCTTCTTTCCGTAGTCTATTTTTGTAGGGGAACCCTCCCTAAAAAAGAAAGGGTAAAAGTTGGCACCTAGCTGGGGGACCTAGCTAAACAATTGGGCTACCTTTGAAGTTCTCGGTCGCCGTTTCGGTTTCCCAAGACCATCTCCCCTATGCAACCTGCGAGGAGCTGCGCCTGAGAAGCTCCCGGATGCGCGCCACCTTCGCCGGATCCGGGCCTCGCCATCTCAGCGGTGCTCGGTTGCGCGCGGGACGCAACCACGCGACCGGCGGCCACTCTGGTGAGGTTTGTACCATGCTCTTTTCTTTCTTTTCTTTTTGTTGGAGGGGGGGGTGGCACGATTACCAGCAGTTTGTTGTCGTTTTGGGGACCCCCCCAAAAATGGATTTGGCTATGGTACTCCAAACTCGATGACGCCTGGTACCTGGGAAACAAGGCAGCGGGTTTATAAGGGTTACAAAATGTGGTTTAGGAGGTGGTTTAGGCAAGGGTTTAGCTAAAGTTTAGCTAAACCAGCTAAACCTATTAAGGTTTTGCTTCAAATTCCAGCACCTGTGTGCAATTGGTGCAACAATGCGTTTTCCTACCGCAAGCGAGACATCAAGCAAAGCCGCAGCGGGCAGTCCGCGCAGCCCAGCCAGCTCTTCGACTTTGAGACACACCCATTTCCTTTTTTCCTTTTCTCCCTTTCAAACCGCCCCCAGCAAGGGTACACACCCACAAATATGTTCAAGTGCCCGGTGCTAAGGTGGGATGCAGATCTGGAGGGGGTCGACGGCTTGGGCTTTGCTGATCCGGGTAAAGCCATCCCCCAAAAGCCAAAAACCAATGCAGACTTGCGGAAACCTCCTCTCGCCAACTTGTTTTGGGTGCAGCCTCCCCCCTCCCCCCAAACAGAGAAACCGTGTCTTAAAGCGGCCTATTCACGGGACTTGTTCATCGGAAACGGGTCATGTGTCCCACACACTTTGCACGATTCAGCTTTCTCGGGTGGTTTGGTGGCTGGGGGCTGTCCCATTTCGCGACGAGAACCAGTTGCGCTCAAATCCAAATCCGAACCAATCCTTAAACCACCTATCCGAATGAATCTGCACAAGCTCCATTTCACCAATCTGCAAAAGCTCTTTCTTACTTCACGGGAACCGGAACAAGACGGCTCGAAAGCAAAGCCCAAGCCCAAAAGGACAGACAGGGGCCGTCAAAGGTGACAATCTCGAGCAACAAAAAAAGGACTCTTTCACGTTTTGAGCGAGAAGGGAAACTCAAAGAACACAGAAGTGGTCCAACGAAGCGAGTGAGCTGATTCGAGGTAAACACGCGTACCAAGATCTTCCGCTGAGAGCTTCCGCTGAGAGCATCGAGTAAATAAGTCACTCGTCCTTTTGCAGACCTCAAGCAACCAACAAACACACAATACCACCCAACCAAAAAACAGCGAACAGTCAAACATCACATCCAACACCCAAGGGCACGAAGAAAGAGACACCCACTCATTTGTATTCCTCAAACTATTAGACTTGTCAACAGTGCCCATGCTCCCTTGCAGATTGATATGGAATCCACAACCCTTCAATTGTCATCTTCATCTAGTGTGTTTGAACAACTTTGGAGGTAAAACCGCTGGATGAGCTTTCGAGGGAAGGGTTGCACCTCAAGCTTCAGTACCCAGTGGCGATCTCTTTCAGCACTCAGTTGCGATCTCTTTCAGCTGAGAGGGAAAACCGAACAAACCACCTGGATCACGGATCAATGTCAGGGCCCGGGTCCCGACGTCGCGGTCGAGTAAGTGATCTCCCAAGGAGGGCATCTGGTGAAAGCCACAGCACAGGGTACAACCTCTTTTGGCAGCTGTCCCTTGAAAACGGTTCCACCAAGAGGGGATACCCAACAAAAAAACAACAACACACGGATCGAACCTCCGTACCTCCAAAAAACCTATACCTGAACACATATTTTTCAAAAACCACATTTGATTGATCCACCTCCGAAGCAGCCAGACCTGAACACTCCCTTTTTTCGGGACCAGTCAGCTCCGGTCTTCTCTCGGCGCCCCGACTCTTGATGAGGCGCTTTAACTCCTGACCACTTCCCTTCCTTCGAACTTCCAATTGCATAAACCCACGGTTAAACATAGACGTATTTGGACAGGAGGGCAGCACATCTGGAGACAGCAAAAACAAACATATTTCCAGTAGTGATAGATTCCCTTTAAAACCAGCGGGGCGAAAATCAACCGTATTCTTAGTTTCCCATCCTTTCCCCTCCAACGTTGACAGGATGGTTCGCTTTCTCACGGTTTTCTGTGCCTGTCTTGGCAGTTCAAGGTAGGGTCAAGCCCCTTTGCAGCCATTGGATGTTTCCAAACCGTCGACTGCCTCACGGATGGGCCAAACTTTGTTCACCACTAAAATGGTCCAAACCCAAAAAGTAACTCAGATGGACGGTCTTGAGGGGCCGCATGTGATCTGGATCTCCATTGGAAGGGTTCAAACAAAAACGCCACCTCTTTCAGGTCTTAAGATTACTACTGTTGATGGGAGAAATCTTGCGTGAGTTTATAAGACTACATGTTTGCCACCCTGCGCCTCCTACTTAACATTGAGCGTCGACGGGCGAAACCACTCACAGGTTGTCGATTATCTTGCATGATCCAACCCAACTTGGCCAAACTGAGAACTAATGTTAAGCAGGGGGCGTGGTGAGTTGTAACAAGATGGCATAGATCTGCTTCAAAATCATGCAATATTTCTTCCATCCACCGAATGACGAGCCGCATTACTCCCACACTGGACATCAGGAAGCCTTTAAGCAACCTCAGGTGGCGAGACCAACCGACGATCGGTCAGCTCCTTTCTTATTCCAGTTTTGTAGGATCTTCTCCAATTTTCGTATGGTGCTCTCTTAAAAGCGAGGTTTACATCGGACCAAGGCGGCAGGTAAAGGAAACTCAGGGCATTTTTCACATTTTTTTTGGGTGTGCCGGAAGGGAGGTAGGGGTTGAAAACTATTCATCTATGCAACTCATGACACATACCGCTCGTGGCACCCTTCATCACCCTTCCTAGGTTTTGCAGTAAAGAGGTTAGAATAAGGGTGCCCTTTTTCTGTAGTCTATTTTAGTAGACTTAAGAAACCCTCCCCCCAAAAAGTTGGTAAAAAGGGCACTACTGGGAGACCTAGCTTCCCTTTGCCTTCATCACTCGGAAGCCTTCGAAAGGGTGGCTCTGAAGGCCCCTAGAAACTTGCAAAGAAACCCAACCCAATCTTCACAGGAAGCAATAACTCTGGCGATCCACAAGTGAAGGACCATGCCTTCTGATTGGTGAGCAACATGGGACGTATTTTGGAGTTTGGGGATGCACCAGCGTTTTCTTGACCCTGAACAGGTGATAGGCGGTTTCACTCCTACAGAGGCTGCTGGGTTTTTTCGAGGGGGGTTGAGGGTCTGGCTTTTCAAACGGGGTTTGGTGACGGAGGGTCTGGGTTCGAACCAAAGATGCAGAGATGCTCGGAGCCAAAACTCCAGTCTTCCATGAGAGAATTAGAAAGCATTTTCTTTTTTGCAGAAAGGGTCAAGGCCTGGAACTAAAATTGTTTACGCAACACCTGTAAAGAATCAGAAGGGCTCTCTTTCCGCACCAATTTATGGCCGCGACTGGCCTTCACTTATCCGGGTGATGGCCGGCAGTGGGCTCTGTCTCACTGGACAAATACTGAAGTTTGATCTTGTTGGACCTTCAATCAGGGTGGCTCGTCTTTTGTGACGGTGCCTCCTTTTTTCTTCTTTCTTTTTTTTTTTGGGGGGGGGGTTAAAGGGAAACCAACAGGAACACCCACCATTTTGATAGGCTCCAACCCTTAAATAAGGAACACCACACCCACCAAACAGCTCGAACATTGGATTTTTGGTCGGCGTTGGTTTCGCCCGAGATCCTTGTAGTTCAAGTAGAAGTTCCGGTATCGCACATGGCTCTCCGCGTGCCGCCGGATCTCCTGGCGCTTTTTCTTGCGCGAAGGCGCCACAGAAAAGGGAAAAGATGAGAAACCCAGCGATTTCCTTCAGGAAATCCTAAGGGAAAGTCGCATGGCCCTTTGAGGCGATTTGGAACGCCCCTCACTCAAAAAATACCGGTTATAAGTCGTGTCAACATGAAGCTGATTCCCAAAAAAAGGAAAGCCAGCGGCACCAGAGAACTGCGGGCGCCTTGCCGAACTTCATGCACGGCAATGGGCAGCGTCGCTATCGGCCGTCAAATGCGCCAATTGGGACGAGCTAATTCTACCTGCAAAACAAAAGGACAGCCATGGGTCGCAATCATCCAAAGAAACGACCGAAAGATCCAGAATGATTGGCTTTGAACTGAGGTCTTGGTGGTAAGTTGCCAGGTGCATCTATGCATCCATGCTATGTTGACTTCCTACGGCGGTTTGGGGCTGTTCCGGAAGTCTCGATTTGGAGTTCAAATCCCAAAGACCCAGTTCAGGCAGGCGCCTGAGATGGGATTCGCTGGAAAAGCTGGGAATCAACACGCATGAGTGGGGGCTATGGCGCCAAACACAAGCAGAAATGCAACGCTCCTTCTTTTGCTCCGAAGACCCGTGAAGGTGGGTTCCTGAATAAATGGCCCAAAACAGCTGGAGCTTCCTGTTTGCCATTACATCATTTTTCTTGTTTTTACCAGAAGCTCAGGAAGTTGGCATTGGTTGGCCACGTGGCTTTTGGGTCAAGTTCCTTTCACGGCGCCGGTTCCGCCACTGACCTGCGTGGCCGTTTTTCAACTTGATCCAGCGGCGGTGGGTTTGGGATCCAGGGCAGCAACTTTGCAGCCAGAACCTTCCAATCCCCGAGTTGACCCAGTTCTCTGGGCCAGTTCCACTAGGTCTTTGGAAGGCTTCGGGATGACTCAACTCCACAGTCGGCAAGGAAATATGAAGCCTGTGGGCCAAGGGCTCCCAAAAAAAGAGACGGGCGATCCTCTCCTCACCCACTTTTGACAAACTATCCATGTTGCCAACAAGTATCATTGTGATGGGCATACTATCATTTTCACAACTCCCCTTCTCACGTGTTCGCAAACTATCCTCACTCACTCCATGTTGGGCATAATAGGACGTGGAAAATCCGTGATCCCAAAGGGCATTTGGTGACTGATGCCATTTTTTGCTTGGGTCGTTGATTCGAATGGGTCAATTTGCTGAAGTCCCCAGGAAAAAGCCATTTCTCGTGATGGATTCCCTGTAAACAACAACAGGGGGCGATAATTAAATTTTCGCAAATGGAAGGCGTTTCACCTCAAGCGGCTAACGGGGCACACCCACCGGTCTGAACACTGAAGCTTTTGTCTCAAAGGACCCCCCCAAAATGGACTTCGGTTTTCTTTGAGGAAGCCGCTTGAAAAAGCAAGGTATTGCAGGGCCTCAAAAGAGGCCCCATATCCTAGATTCTTCACTTGAACGACAGGTTCCGTCCTGGGACACTGACCTTCATCTTAGGGCAAAGGACTGGGGTTGCGCCCTCTTCAAACATGTTGACACTACCGCTTAGACAACCTTCTTTTGGATTCCCTAAGTGGCTGTTACACAAACTGGCCCGTCATGGGCGACGAGAAACTCAACCCTCACTCGGAATCTTTTTTCTCACAGCGACAGCCATCGGGGCGAACACTTCGCTCGCGGGTGGCGTCAGTTGACGTATAGCTCGATGGTGGCATCTTATGAATCCGTTGGAGCGCAAACAACAAGGGGCCCTCGATTAAAAGGGGGTGTGGTGCGGGTCGCAAGTCACCAAAGTGGGGTACCCAAAAAGCCAACCAGCGCCGGCGCAGCAAAGCCGCCCAATTGTATCCTCGAAATCAATGAAAAGATGAGCGCTCAGCGAACGGACGGCAACCGTTCCAGGCATCCCGTGGCGGGCAAGCCGATTTCGGGCCCAAACGCCCCAACCCCTCTTCGGACGATTTCTCGTCTTGCGCGAGTTTGCTGACTTTCGGAGTGGCTTGGTCAGGAAAAGTCCCCAAAGTTTTTACCACATAAATGGCCCAAACCCAACAAAATCAAGCCCAGAAACTGGGGAAGCAACTGTGTTTTCGCGCCATGGCCATCGCGTTGTGCAGTTTTTATGGTTGTGTTACATTCCTCTTGTGACCACTCGGGTTTAGTTGCCAAACCAAAACAACAACACAATCTTAATGGCTTCCTCCTCCTCAAGTGATCAACCTTTTGCAGCTTGGAACAGGTCCCAAGCCCAGCCAAGAAGCTGAATGGATCATCTGTTTCGTGCGAGAGAGATGAATGATTTCGCTCGAGAGACAAAAAGGAGTCAGGAATGCACCAAAGGGTTGAAGCCCGAATTCGAGCCGAATGGATCATTTATTCTTGGTTGACGTTGGAAGGGGAGCACAAATCTAAATTTTAGCAGTTCAGTGGGGATTTCAACCACTAAACCATAATAAGCCAAAAGGTAAAATGTTTCCCACCGACAACCGTGTACTTGGCTGTGCCGCCAAAAAAACGATCACACCAAACGCTTCAGCTCGGAGTTCGCTCTCGGAATGCCCGCGATCGATCCGCTCGAGCTCAGTCCGCCGACAGGAGGCCTTGGCCCGCCAGAGTGGCCTCGGGCCAAGGCGCGTTCTGCTGGCCGAAGGGCGGCGGATGGGCTTCGCCAAAAGCACCGCGTCCAAGTTGTTCCGTTTTTTTCCGTATTGGGGGGGGGCTCGTATTGTGACACACGCCAGAAATTGAACCACTGCCCGCCCACCAACAAGAAAAGCAGAACATGTTGGGTACATTTTTTGGTGTGGTTTTAGATGACAACTAGAGGAGGAACACATTACTGGGATGCCCTATTTTACGACACACCCTGATTTGGAGCCAAAAGGGCGCCAATGCAGCTCCAAAACCGCAACCTACGACTTCCCTTGTTTTGGCTCATCAATATTGGACTGTCTGGCGTGCCATATGAACCACCTGAAGACCAGATTAACCCGGGGCGCGGGGCCAACACTGAAAAAGGGGGAAACCGAACTTGACAAGATCATCACCTTGATCTCACTCAAGGTCTATTTAGTGCATATTTAGGTCCGTATTTGGGTGCTCGTCTGGTTTTTGGGCTGTATTTCGACCTCAAAACGTAAGACACTTTCTGAAACCCGAGGCATGGTGGACAAAGCGGACCCAAGACCGGACCCCCAGTGGATTTTGATTTCCATGGGGGTTGAGGAATGGGCACTTTCCATAGGTGGCCTTTTGGCAAAATAGATGGGTTTCCCTGGTAAATGGAACAAACCCCTAAACCAGGGCCCTCTAGTTCTCATGCAGACCAACCAAAAAGCAAAGACCTATGGCACTTTTTGTTCGGCCAATGTTCAACGGCTCCCCCCTCCAAGAAAGAGTTGAACAAGGGAAGCCCCCACTGAGGGTCTGGGAAAATGAGGCAGTCACCCCTTGGATCAGTCTGACTGAGACATCACTTACGCAAAAGTAAGACATGGACAGAAAGACTTGCTGGTGCGATAGGCAGGGAATGAGGGAATGAATGCTATAAACCATCCCACTGGTTTCTTCAAGGGGACCCCCAGGTTCATTCCCTCATTTTCTGCCTATCGCACCAGGAAGACACATGACTCGTCGGGATCTTTGCGGCAAAGGGCTCGGAAAGCCCCGCAGCGCTCAAAGCAGCCAGGGGAGTATGGCTTCTACGGCTTCAATCCAAAATTCCTTCAAAAGGAAGGGGCTAAGGGGTGTCCCATCTCCAGGAAAGTTCGGAAATGGAATTCCAGGGGATCACCCCCTCCCCCAACTCCATCTTAAGAACCTGGCGACAATCAATTGAACATTCCCTATATTTCCCCTTGTAGCATCACCCACTTTCGAAAGACTCACCTTAAAATGGGCAGACTGGATGTTTCGAGCGGACAAATCGCTTGTCCCCCTTAAAGCAAAAGGTACCACTCCCCATCACTCCCCATCACTCCCCCCCCTCCCCCCCAAACAAACAAAAACAAAAAAAACCCGCCCAAAAAAACAAGAAGGTACCACCCTACCCCCCCCCTCACCAATCCCCCCCCCGCCACTACTCCCCCCTCCCCCCCGGAAAAAAAAAAAAAAAAAAAACAGAAACAAAAACAGAAAAAAAAAACAACAAACACAAAAAAAAACAGCGACGGCTTAGCTTCAGCCCCCTGGCGAACTCCTTGGCGTCCGCAGGCTTCTTCTCCTTCGAGGCTGAGGTTTCGGGCTCCGAAAAAAAAAACAAAAAACAAACGCGGCCTGCGTTGGGCTCCCGGCGTCTTGTTTGTGAAGGGCACCTTCGTGGGGCAATAAGTGTAAAGGGAAGCCAAAAGGAAACCCAGGACTCTTTGGATCTCCCTACTTGAGATAAATTCAGATAAAATGATACATACTATTGATGCTAAAAAGTAAACAGGTCATGATAATGATCATGACAATGGGTATGACTCACGGTATGACACATACAGAAACCTTGTTTCTTCTGAAGACGGCGGAAGCGCGGGTACCAGTTCCCTTCTCCAGTGGCTGTGCAGTGGACCACCCTCGTGTAGCACCATTGAAGAAACACCACACACGGTTCTCTAGTTCTTTTTCTTTGGAATCCCAAAGTGGGACGTCCCACACATCTCAGCTTCGGACGTGAATCGCAGTCGTTGTGGAGAAATGACAGAGGAGCCTGCCTTAAGCCCTCCCACGTAAATCAAGCACACTCTGTTTCCCAACCCCCCCACCAAGCACGAGGAGAATGTACTGAACCACAAAAAGGCAACATGCCACCAAGTCCATAGGTGGTCCTTCTTAGTCGGTGAGCTGGAGAAAATAGGTGGCCCGGGTTTCCCTAGTTCAACATCATCCAGGGCCAGTGATTTTTTCGACCTCGACCAAAAGGGACACCTATGACCTATGACTCACTTGCCCAAAGGAGCTGGAAACCTGATCACCCTTTGGCACCACCAAAAATGGACCAGAATGGGAAAACCAACAGGTCCAAAGGTCGATTCGCTTTGGGTAGCTGAGATGAACCACTGGAGGAGTCTCTCCCCCCGGCGCCCCTTGCGAGCCTTGATCAGCGCGTCGCTGAGCCCGGACTTCTTGGCGATCTCATCGGCGTTGCCTCGGGCGAAGTGGGGAGACATCGGAGCAAGGTGCAAGTGACCCAAGGGAGGGGGGGCTCAACTCAAGGCCTTGACCCACGGATCCATGGCT